AGCCTTCCTCACATATGGTTTTGCTGTTGATCATGACAAAACCTTACTGGCCTTAGCAACTGCAGATTGACATTGCATATTGCTGCCTAATTTGTTGTCTATAACAATTCCCAAATCCTTCTCGAGTGTGGTTATCCCAAATTCACTACCATTTAGAGTGTAAGTTGCTTGTGCATTCTTGACCCCAAAGTGCCTAACTTTGCATTTCTCTACGTTAAATTCCATCTGCCATCTTAGTGCCCAGTCCCCCAATCTATCGCACATCACCACGACTAGTTTCTTTCCTTGAACTTGAGCTTTTTAAAGCAACACTTGCAAAGAGATGCTTGTACAGAAAACTACTGCAGAGACTTACTATTTACATCACAGGTAATCGGTTTGGCCTTTGCTTGATCAGAGGCATGGAGCCCAAATAACCATTTTTTTAAATCCAGGGGCTCTTCCCTGATTAAACAAAAGGGGACCAGATCTACTTCCCTTATTGTATATATAATTAAAGCAGCACTGTTGCCATCTGGGGACTTTGCAGAATTTGCAAAGATTACCAACGGTGACATTGCAGCTGGGGGTCCATTGGCCGGTGGAGCACATAAGGATGAAATCTACTTACCTGAACCGTTCTCTTGCGTTGGCGGACATTTTGATCTGGCAGGTTCTCTTCGTAGCAGATGTCACTGCTGTATGAAACTGTGGGATCCTCAACAGACACATCCAATTCCCTGCAGCAGTCACAGGTGATTGCTGTCGGGATTGCTACGTGACTCCACCCTGAGTCCTAGAAAGTCAGGCACAGGAGAAATTAAAAGTAAATGCCAAAAAAAAGCTGGAAATTTCTCCAACTTGGCTGTTGTCACAATCTTTTACCTCAGTTTTTCCATTCTAATTTAGGTCAGATTTAATATTTTTGGATAAGCTTTTCAAATGATTTAATATTTTTGGATAAACGTTTCAAAGGATTTAATATCTTGAAAAATATTTTATTAATTTAGATTTTTCATATATTTGTTGATCGTTTACAAAAAATATTTAAAATGTTTATCCCAAAATATTAAATAATTAAATAAATCACACACAACCCCAAAAAATCAAAGTGTTCCACTGAAATGTAAAGAGGCATGCCTCACTGCAGTAGCACAGACACCTGCCCTCAGCAGGGGTAAAGGCAGAAAACAACTGTCTGACCAGAAATAAATGTGCCAAGTTTCACCCCACACAAATGTCACAATCTCCTCACGTAGCAAAGTATTATGCTTCCATTATGTATACTGTGAAATATATGAAAATAATAATAATAAAAAAATTACAATAATGTCCTGGTCCGGTCTATTAACCCATTAAGGATCAAGGTAATTGTCCAAGTTCAGGACCACAAGCTCACACTTGCTTGAAAGCAGACTATGTCAAGTAGGAGTTAAAAAAACAAAAACAGGAGTTCAAACTAACAAGAGGTTTAAAACGGCAAGTTAATTGTTTTACTGTCCTGTATCTGGGGAAATGAGTGTTGCCAAGATTGCTTGTTTGACTCAATGCACATCTTGTTGCATGTATGCATGCCTGGATGTACCGTTTAGGGTCCATATCTCTGTGACAGGTGTGTGCGAGTGGCTTCTCTGGAAGCTCAGATTGGAGATCTGGAGAAGCAAATTGCAACATTGAGGGAGATCAACAATCTTGAGAGGAGTCTGCTGCTCACTGGGCAGGGTTTAGGGGGGACAGGTAGTGGAGTGGGAGGAGATAACCAGATGTAGAACAGGCACACAGCTGGGTGACAGTGGGATGAGGTAGCAGGGAGGGAGGAAGGGAGGGAGGGAAGAGGAAAGGGCTAGCTAGTCCTGAGTTTGTGCAACTTTGCAGATTTACTGTTTGAGTGAAGATGTTGGGAGCATCAGCTCAGGAGTAGCTGTACTAGAGGAAGTTATTTATTTTAACAGCTGAGGGAACAGCCCCTCTAGTACGTGTGGGTATGAAAATGTAAGGAAGGCTAGACAGGTTGTGGTGGTAGGGGACTATCATTAGTAGAGTAGATAGGGTAATCTGCCGCTTTGATCGGCTCAAATGGACAGTTTGCTGTCTCCCAGGTGCTTGTGTCCAGCATGTTGCTGACAGATTGGGTGGATTATTGAACCCTGTGGTTCCGTGGAACACAAATTGGGGTTCCGCCAAAAGTGTAAAAAAATAAAATGGCCGCATGCGGCGAGGAAGCAGTGATCTCCCTGCTCAGCTCCCTTGCACGCACAGCAGTGATGCTGGAGCCGGATTATGACGTCGCTCGGGCATCACTAAGAGGCGCGCGCGAGAGAGATCATCGCTCCCTCGCTGCCCATACACCAACCGCTCTGCAGCCCCACTGGACCCTAGGGACTCCTTGCCAGCACTCCTAAAGGTAGGGGGGCTGGGTGGAGTAAAATTAAAACATTAAAAAATTGGTAAAAAATTAATTTAAAAAAATGTGTGTTTGTCAGTGGGAATGTATCTGTTCTTGTCAGTGAGAGTGTATATGTGTTTATGTGTGTCTGTCAAAGAGTATGTGTGTCACTGTGTGTATCAGTGTTTTTGTGAGTGTATCAGATACATATACACACAGACAGTGAGAGATACACACACTGGCGCATACAAACACAGATATACAGACCTTGAGACACACCGGCACACACACACTTTGAAACATAGATACACACACCTTGACACACAGACACAGATCCACACTGTGTCAAGGTGTGTGTATCTATGTGCCACTATCTGCCAGTGTGTGTGTGTGTGTGTGTGTGTGTGTGTGTGTGTATCTGTGTGTCAAGTTCATACATAATGGCACATACAAACACAGATACATACACCTTGATACACAGACACATACAAACACAGATACATATATACATACACACACATAGATACACACTGTCAAGGTGTGTGTATCTGTGTGCGTATCGGTGTGTCAGATATATACACACACACAGATACATAAACTGGCACATACAAGCACAGATATACACACCAAAAATGGCGCAATTTTTTAAAAGAATTTTATGTCAAAGGGTCCCACAGGAAAAATTTAATAGGAACCCCTGGCATACACTAAACAATATAACATCACTGGCATAACTACAACAGGTTGGGATGAGACACACTACTTGACAGCTTACTTGAATGGGTACACGTTATTAAGGAAGGATAGAAAAAACAGGAAAGGTAGTAGGATATGTTTGTATGTCAATCATGAGTTAAAGCCAAATCCATAGCAAGTGGAAGGTGATGAGGAGAATGTGGAAGCATTATGGGTAGATATCTGCTTGGGGCAAAAGAAGAGAAATCAATTATTGGTTGGGATATGTTACAAATCACCTAATGTTAATATTGAAGAGGAACAACAGCTGTTTGAGCAAATTGAGAAAGCTGCAAATCTGGGCAACACGTTAATTATTGGAGATTTTAATTACCTGCATATAAACTGGCATAGAGGGACTAGTAGATCAGCAAAGGGAATTCGGCTTTTGAACTTGTTAAATGACACAACTTGTACAAGCACGAGCTAGAAAGGACCCTTGTCTGGACTTGGTTCTAACAAACAACGTTGATCTTTTGACCAACATTTAAGTAGGTGAGCACTTGGGAAATAGTGATCACAATATAGTGGCCTTTGAAATAAACTCAAAAAAACAAAAGCACATGGGGTATACTAAAACAAATAATTTTAAAAAGGCCAATTTCAATAAGTTATGGGGGAGCATTACAATATATTGATTGGCATAAACTCTTTAGTGAAAAAAAACACTGAGGACAATGCAGGAGTCCTTGACAGGGAATGACACGAAATACACTGATCGATGGCGGCTCTGGTTTGAGTATGTGACGCGGCGGATGTTGGGGGCAATGGGGCTGACTCGCAGGGTCTTGAATAAGGGATATACCACGCATCTCGCCAACATGTCCCCACCCTCCATTTACTGTATTATTCACCTTTCTCCTACTATCCTACCACCAACTACGCCCCCTCTTATTTCCTTCTCTATCTACGAATTACCCTGAAGGCACCTACCCAGGCGGGCCCGGACAGTGCAGTGGGAACCCTGAAAGCAAGCCACAACACTGAAGTGGTCACAGTGTTGGAGTAACTCTAGACAGGGTTATTATACCATCAATTGTCAATATAAGACAATTACGAATTACAGGCATACCCCACTTTTAAGTACACAATGGGACCAGAGCATGTATGTAAAACAAAAATGTACTTAAAGTGAAGCAATACCTGTTTTCACTTCCTAATGCATGTACTGCATTGCAATAGTAATTTACAGGCATAACTGATACTGCAACTGCAGATTTTCAGTGATTTTATTTCCAGTGATTTATTTAGTGATTTCCAGTGGGCTTTTATTCAGTTAAAACAAACAGTAAAAAAATAAATAAAATCTAATTCCAGATTTATCTTTAATGTTTTACTCATCTGACAACCTTAAACTAAGAGGAAAAGTAAAATAAGCCTGCCCACTGGGCCATTTTCTGTCAATAAAGTGCCAATTTGTGTTTGTTAGCAGCTTAGTTGCACACTTTGTTTAGAAACACCTCTTCACCACTTTAAGCATTTATGGTTTAACTTTGAATCCTCAGAATTGTGGCTATGTCATAGTTATAGAAAATGGCAGGGTAAACCCTTTCACTGGATGGCAGCCGATTGCAGAATATGGACAATGTAGCGGCAGAAAAAAAAATATATATGTTCAGCTAGGAGTAGACATTATAAATTTGTCCTAATATGTTTGAGGTTTACAGATCCTAACCCAACCCATAAAACAAAATCAGAATGAGATGATTAACCCCTTCCCGACCGCAGACGGAAATTGTAGATTATGCTAGCTTTAGTGTACCTATAATCTTAATTTTATTAATGACAGGAGGCTTCGTATTTGCTTAAGACTTTCTTTACTTAAGCTTCACAGCAGCACTTTTTCACATAGTAACAAGGTAACCAATAAGAAAAAAGGAATAACAAGGTATATAGGTCCCTCCCAGTGATGTAATTTCCTCTTTCTGGCTGCGAACAAATAGGAACCGGAACTGAAGGAACCAGATGAGTGATTCAGGATGCCAGACTTGAAGAGTGATGCTTGAGAGGGAGACAGGAACGTAGACTTGAGAACTTGAGGAGTAGAGGAGAAGCTTGTGATGGAGCAGCAACTAGGCTGGATCTCTTAAGGGAGTTTCATGCTGAAACAAGAGAGCAGAGTCGAAGCCAAGGATTAATCCGTGAATTGGACTTTGAAATTATGATAACCAGTTGATATGAAACATACATTATAGCTCGCTAGAAAAGTTAATCTATACCTCATAGAAAAATAACTCCTAACCCCATGGTAGTAAGGCATAGTGTGTTCGTTCTTGTTTTAGAAACTTACCTACAGGGGCGACCCTAGGGTGGGAAAAAATGAAAGTAGGAGTGGTGGGAAATACTCGCCTCCTGTCATTAATAAAATTAAGATTATAGGTACACTAAAGCTAGCATAATCTACAATTTTATAACATGACAGGAGGCTTCGTATTTGCTGTTTTAACGCTCCCCGAGAAGGGCCAAGGAAGCGTGCGCAGCCGGACGAAAATAGAAGTTGCGGAACGTCTGTTCTCGGGACCAGTCTGCGGAGTGAAGTATGTCTCGAAGTGAGGCTCCAGCGCTGAATGCCCCCGATGCTGCCGCTCCTCTGATGGAGTGGGCTCCGAAGGAGGTTTCAATCCCGGCTAGGGAGAGCAACCACCTAACCCATCGGGCAAGAGTTGTGGTTGACACTGGATTATGAGGCCGGACGTATGAGACCAATAGCTGGCTGGAGGAAGTTGGACGGATAGAGGAGGTGAGTGATAAATAACGAGAAAGAAGAGATACCACACACAATTTCGGGTGGTTAGGGAAATAAGGGTAAAATATCGAAGAGGAGTTTGATTTCGTCCGCCTGGTCACGGAAAAGGTGACACCCTCTGGGGAAAAGTTGATAGCGTCATGGTCAAAGGCTCGAACATCCGAAACTCTTCGGAAGGACACTAAGCAAAGTAACAGGGTGAATTTGGCTGAGAGTTAGCGGAGGGATAGATCCTCGTTGTTTGGCCAAGTCTCGAGAAAATTAATTATTGACATTAACGTCCCACAGATGGGAGTATTTCGGTTTAGGGGGGGCGAGCCAGTTTGATGCCCCGCAATAGTCTACAAACCAGCTGGTCCTGGCCCACTGGAACCCCTTCAAGAGGGACATGGGCTCCCGAGATGGCTGAATGGGAAACGTTGATGGATCTGTAGGAAAGGCCTAGATCGAATAGATGAGAGAGGAAATTCAATATGAACTGTCTAGGGGCCGTAAGGGGATCGGTATTCCGTTCCAGGCACCAATTGCACCAAGTGTTCCAGGAGGAGAGATAGCATCTTCTAGTTCCAGGAGCCCACGAATCCCAGAGGAGTTCCTTAGATCTCTGCGATAGTCCTCCGAAGTGCCAGGTTCCCCTGAAAGAGTCCAAGCCACTAGGTGGAGGTGGTCTTGCGTTATCATTGGATGAGGATTTCCTTGAGGGTCCTCCAGGAGGTTGGGCCAGAAGATCCGGAAACCATGCTTGGCCCCGCCAGAGCGGGGTAATTAAAACAAGTGCGATCTGTTGTCTGCGAATCTGCAGGAGGACTCTGGGAATCATCGCAAACGGAGGAAAAGCATAGGCTCCCGTCGTCGGCCAACTCTGAAGGAAGGCGTCCACAGCCGAGCATTCTGGGTCTGGAAGCCAGCTGAAAAACCGTGGGACTTGAAAGTTTGTCCGGGAGGCGAAAAGGTCTAAGGTAAATGGACCCCTGAGTTTGGAGATGTGGAGAAAGATCGTTCTGTGTAGGCGCCAGTCGCTGCCATCTCTCCAATGTCGGGAGAACCAATCCGCAGTAATGTTCGTCTCCCCTGGGAGATATTCTGCCCGAAGAGTGATGTTGCGTTGGAAGCAAAACTCGTAGATGTCTTTTGTCACTTCGGAGAGGATGCGAGATCTGGCCCCGCCCAATTTGTTGATTTATTGGACAGCAGAGATATTGTCCATCCGAAGGAGAATACAGCAGTTTGAGAGATGATTGGTCAAACTGCGAATTGCGAATGAGCCTGCGATTAACTCCAGACAATTGATGTGGAGGAGGTGTTCTGAGGTGGTCCATGGTCCTCTGGTGGAGGTTGTATGACAGGTTGCGCCCCAACCCTGGAGGCTCGCATCTGATTCCACCACGAAGTCTGGGGTGGGACCGAAAATAGCTTTGCCGTTCCAGGCTGACATGTGGTGGAGCCACCAACGGAGTTCCTCTTTCACCTCCGAAGTGATCGGGACCCTCTGGTCATATGATGGATGAGACCGGAGGAATTAAGCTTTCAAGCGTTGCATGGCCCGGTAGTGAAGGGGGCCTGGGTAGATTGCCTGAATGGAGGCAGAGAGTAGGCCTACTACCCGAGCTAATCCTCGAAGAGGTAAATCCTGTTGACAAAGCGTTTTGCATAGTTCCTTCTTGATCGCGAATAACTTGGACTGAGGTAGGCGAAGAACACTGGTTGAAGAGTCGATTTCGAATCCGAGAAATTGAATGACTCTGGTTGGGGACAGTGACGATTTCTCTTGGTTTATGACAAACCCCAAGGATTCGATTAATACAGAAGTATAGTTAGTCTGTGAACGCAGTTTGGATACGTCTTCGCAGAGAAGCATGAGGTCGTCGAGGTAGATTAAACAACGGATGCCCCTTTCTTGCAGATGTGTGGTGACTGGCTTGAGGAGTTTGGTGAAGCACCACGGAGCGGAACTCAGGCCAAATGGAAGACAGGTGAATTGGAAAATTCGGTGGTGCCAATGAAAGCGGAGAAAACGCCGGCTTGAAGGGTGTACTGGCACCAAAAGGTAAGCGTCCTTGAGGTCGAGACGGGTGAACCAGTCGCCTGGTCGGAGGATGTCTCTGAGGAGGTGAATCCCTTCCATTTTGAAATGTCGGTAGATAACAAAAGAGTTCAGTTGACGAAGGTTGATGACTGGGCGAAATTCCCCTGACTTCTTCTTGACTAAGAAGGTGGAGCTGAGGAAACCTTCGTCGGGTGGAGCGAGTTGGATCGCTCCTTTTGTTAACAGAGAACGTAGTTCTGAATCTAGGTGAAGACTCTGAGCCCTTGACATTTTTGGATAGTGAGGATAACCTGTTTGAGAAGGGAGAGAATGAAACTCTATGTAGAAACCCTGAACTGTGTTTAGGACCCAGGTATCTGAAGACAGGGTCTTCCACATGTCTACACAGTGTGACAACCTGCCCGCATGATAAACAGTAGAAAGGTGAAAGGAAGGAAATCTCACCTGTTGGGTATCTACTGCGTCCGCGGGTTCTGTATCCTCTTCCTCTATCCGCCCTTTGGGAGTAAGAGCCTCTTGGTTGATAGTTGGGGAAGAAAGATGAAGTTGGGGTTCTCTGGCGTTGGTTTGTGGTCCAGAAACGGCTGACTGTGCGACCCCTTGTACGGCCAGCCCTGCCAAAAACCCGTGAGGGTTGATAGTGAAATACTCTTTTCATGGATGATTGCGCCTTGTTTAGTGTGGCGTATTAGTTTACATGTTTATGTAATTCTTTAATGTAGGGTTCTCCAAACAATAGACCCTGTGCTTTGGGGCCCAATTCCTTGGTTCCCAAGTCAGCTAACTTAGCATCCATACGCAGCAGCACTGCTTTTCTACGCTCAGTACAGAGGGATGTATTAGCATTGCCCAGCAGGCAAATAGAGCGTAGAGCCCATTCTCTGATCACAGATGGGTCTAGAGGGCCTTCATTAGATAAGGCTTCATCAGCCAGTAGAAGAATTTTTGCCAGAGGTCCTAGGATGTCCAGCATTTTGTCTTGGGTTAGGCGTAGGCTGCGTTCAATGCCCTTTTTTGGGTCACGGCCCGATCTAGCCAGATATGTGTAGAGCAGCGTATCAAATTCCGGGGTCACCGCGACCTTATCCGGTAGAGTGGGTCTGGGACATTCAGCTCGTAGTCGTTTGCGGACCTCCCGATCTAGGGGTCTTCTGATCCAAAAATGAATATACTGGGAGAGATGGTCTGGTAGTGACCATTCGGATGATCGAGGATATCTGATTTGTCTTGGGTCAAAAAGCGGTTGACCAAGCGTATCCAAAAAAGGTTCAGTGTCCCCAGATGGAAGTGATCCGGGTAACATAACTTTAGATGGGAGGTCTCCCATAGTCGACTGAGGGAGAGTTGGCCCTTTTATGGAAGTCTCGGGCCAGTCCTCCTCATCTTCTGAGGAGTGGTCAGCTTGCCATTCATCTAAGATGGCTAAGGGGTGTAAGTCAAAAGAGTCTTCCTCTTCTTCCGACAGAGTAGGTTGGATGGAGTGTTTCTCTCTAGCATCCACCTGTTTGGGGCGTTTCGCCGGTTCTTTCCCCTTACGCTTGAGGGGTTCAGGCCCATTCCCTTTCCAATAACGTTTATATGGTTTGGAAGGGTTTCTTTTTGTGGAATCGGAATCCTCCGCATCTTCGTCAGAAAGCGGGGTGTCGGAAATTTTAGGGTCTTTTTGCTCAATGGGCAGCACCCGAGCCAGGGCCTTTTCAAGTGAAGGAGCTACGGCTGCATTTATAATAGCTTGCAAGTTTTGATCTTGATTTGAAGCCTCCATAGCAACAGTTGGTACCTATGGGGCAGAATAGGCCAGTGTTAGAGTGTATTAATAAGGCCGTCTCGAGATATCACAGTATGTTATCATTTCAGATTGCAAGCTGTAAGTGGGGGTCACCCAGTATAGCTCACCTCAGGGAATACTTTTTCAAACCCGTATAGAGGTATAGTGGCACAGACAAAGCGGGCCAATCATGGGCTGTATATGATAACAGCAATCGTAATTTAGTTTTATGTGTTAACTTTATACACATGCATAGTGTAGATATAAGTTGTAATCATAAAGTTTATATGGGAAAAAAACTGTTTGGGTAATAAATTTTGTTGCAGTTGAAATAAATATATTGAGATTATTTTATATATGTAGTACCTATAATCTACCACCAGAGGGAAGTAGAGAGATACAGGGATGAGACTGCATGTGGAGTCAAACTCCTTCCTTGTTAGAGAAGGAGTAAACAGATAGAGAACGCTCTGGTATAATTATTGGATATGAGGTGTTTAATGTTGTACATAATAGTTATTTGACTAATAAGCAGAAAGGTAAAAAATGGCCGCCGCACGGCCGGAGTGAATGGAGATCGCGGCTCCAAGAAAATGGCCGCCGCGATCTCGCGCGTGCGCACCAGTGAAAGAAGGAAGCCGTTTGGATCTCGCGGGGAGCGCGAGATCCAAGATGGCTGCCGCGCGCACTGGGGACCGTTGGAGGCGTACTCCAAGGACCAAAAGCCCGTGAAAACGCAGCAAAAATGCCGCACGGAGAAACTGGGTTAAAGAGGTACAAAACCAATAATACAAGAATAATAAAACAGACCGTAACCAAAAAATAAAAGCGGAAAGAAGAAAGTGGTGGAGAAATACCACATAGAAGATAGAGATGGGAAAAAATAAATCAATTAGATATAGAATAAAGGGTAAAAATATACATATGAATAATATACTATAAAGAAATATGAATAAAACAGATGATAGATACAATAGTAGATAAATCACAGAAAAAACCCCCCACAAAAGTAGGAGACAGTGGCACTCTGACCTGTACTGGTGTGAAGCAGCAAAGAAAGAGGAAATGACATCACTGGGAGGGACCTATATACCTTGTTATTCCTTTTTTCTTATTGGTTACCTTGTTACTATGTGAAAAAGTGCTGCTGTGAAGCTTAAGTAAAGAAAGTCTTAAGCAAATACGAAGCCTCCTGTCATGTTATAAAATTTTCCATCAACCTTGTCCTTCAGTTAAGGACAGTTGATGGAAAATTTCCGTCATTTACTAAAGTTCTGCCTCTGTATTAGAGGCAGACCGGGAGCACCCGATCGGGTTGCCGCAGCACCGGTGCTCGCTCTGACAGCCTGTCAGAGCGAGCACATGTGCTCAGTATACTCACCTTCCGCCTCCCTGCACTTCCGGGTTCTGTATGAAGTGCAGGGAGACGGATCAGTACTGCTGATCTTCTCCATGTGTAAAAAAAATAGAAAATAAAGTTAAATCCCACCCCCCTTTCCCCTGCTTTAATAAAATTAAGCCCTTCCCTGCCAATTGACTACAGTGATCAATTGGCAGGGTATACATTTTAATGTCATCTGATTTATTTATTTTTTTAACCCCTGAGGGTTATTTCTTTTTACCCCTCAGGGGATTAAATTTATTTTATTAATTAATTTAAATATTAAAAAATTATATATTTAGCTAGCTGTAATGGGTGGAAGTTAGTGGGGAATTGGGGAATTTGGTGTTAGGCTAACTAGGGGTTAACGTTAAAAAAAGTTTTAAAATAAGCTTTAAAAAGGTAAAAAAAGTTTTACAATTTTTTTTAGTAATGTTTAAGTAAACCCCCCCCCCAAAAAAACCACCCCCCTTTACCCAGTCTTAAAAAAAATTAACCCCTTCCCTGCCAGTTGATCACTGCCTACAGTGATTAAAATACAGATCACAGTATTATACTGTAATCTAATTTCTTTTAACCCTTGAGGATCAATTTATTAATTTTTTAACCCTCAGGGGTTCAATTTAATTAAATATTTTATAATTATATATATTTTGCTAGCTGGAGTGGGTGGGAGTAATGGGAAAGGGGGGAATTTACGGTTAGTGCTGCTTACTGCTAGTTAGGGGTTAACGGTAAAAGAAAAGTAAAAAAAAATTTAAAAGTGTAAAACATTTAATAAGTGAAAAAAAAATAAAAAAGTTTAAAAAACGGTTTTACCAATTTTTAGAAATATCCAAGAAGATCAATACTATTTTATTGGCAAAAGTGAATTTCGCTCTACAAAAGCTAAATCAGAATTGGTACCATAAAAGCAACAAAGCTGATAAAATGCTTTCCAATAGACTAAAAAATAGGAAAGCTAGATCGAGAGCCAAAAAGATTATAGTAGATGGTCATAGTTATAATGACCCAAAATCAATAGGTAATTCCTTTAATAAATACTATGCACAACTTTATAATCTCTCCTCCAGCCCCCAGGAATTAGATATATCTGAATATCTGGATGGGATTAAATTGCCAACTCTTACAGATGATCAGAAGAAAGAGTTAAATTTACCTTTCTGTGAATCTGAGGTTAGTCTGGTAATTAACAGGCTTAAGCTGAATAAAGCCCCAGGTCCTGACAGGCATACGAATTGGTTTTTAAAGAAATTTAAAAATGAGCTATTGCAACACAGATACATTTAACGAGATTAGAGAATCAGGTCTCCCTTTGAAAGAATTATTACAGGCTAATAAATCTGATAAGGACCCCACTAATCTGGTTAATTACCGGCCTATATCTCTTATAAACTCAGATAATAAAATGTATTCTGCTGTCATTGCAAATAGACTAAAATCAATTATTCCATCTTTAATTCATCACGCCCAAATAAGTTTTGTTCAGAATAGAGAGCCAAGTAATAACACTCGAAGATTGACTGCCCTGATTGATTATGTAACAAGGAGCAAGATCCCTATGTTGGCCCTGTCACTGGATGCTGAGAAGGCGTTTGACAGGGTCAGCTGGAGTTTTATGAATCAGACTCTGGACAAATTTGGATTTGTTGGCTCCATTAAAACTGCAATAATAGCTCTTTATTCTAGTCCAACGGCTAAAACCGTGGGCCCTGGCATCTCCGCAGATTGGTTTACAATTTCTAATGGGACCAGGCAGGGATGTCCCCTGGCCCCGCTTTTATATATTTTGACTCTTTAACCGCTCGCAGTGAGCATAAGAAACAACTATCAAATTAAAGGAGTGATTCTGAAGCATTCTGAATTGAAGATCAGCCTATATGCTGATGACATATTCTTAACATTGTCTGATCCGGATATATCACTAGGGGCCTTGTTTCGGGAGTTGGAAGACTATGGTAGAGTTTCAAACTATAAATTAAATATTGGTAAATCCCAAGTTATGCCCATCAATTTAGATTTTATGACAATTAATAGACTATCAGTTAAATATCCCTTCACTTGGTCATCACAAGGTTTTAAATATCTTGGGATTCATTTCTCTTATAGCTTAAAAGAAATGATTGATAAAAACGTGGATAATCTTATAAAAGATACCAGTGATAAATTACTCGAAGAGTGGAGAAACATAGGAATTTCCTGGTTGGGAAGAATAAATATCATCAAATCATATATTCTACCTCATTGGTCATACCTGTTCAGAATGATCCCTTTATCTATAACAATAACTAAACTTAGGCAGATTCATAAATTATTTCTGAATTACATATGGGATTATAAGAGGTCAAGGATCTCGATCTTACATGCAATGAAAAAGTCCAGTAAGGGTGGTCTGGCTGTCCCAAATCTTATCAAATATTACGAAGCCTCTAGGCTGTACCATCTGTGGAGATGGCAGGGCCCAACCACAATAGAAGAGCCTTGGTATAAAATTGAATCCTTTCTGTGTAAATCAAAAGATCTCTCTAATATGTTATGGATTGACGTGGGGCTAGTGCAAAATTCATCTCCAACATAGAAGCTCCATACATAAAAGATATCTATGAAATTTGGGTAATATACAGGAAAATAAATCACATTTTAAATAAAATTACTAAGTATAGTCCAATTAAGACAATGGAATATAATATTAATGACCTAAATTTAGGTAATTGGATCAAATTTGGTTCAACTAAAATAGATGATTTATTAGAATTGAATAAAATAAGGTCTTTTTCATATCTTCAGTTAAGTTTTGACCATAATTCAAGAGAGTTATTCTCATACCTAAGAATCAAAAATTATTTGGATAACCATCTGCCTTGTGACAACACTAGGATAAATAAAAAATTAAATGATCTATTTAAAAATAATACTAATCGTAAATCGATATCTAGTTGGTATGAAATATTGAGAGAGGAAGAAAAAGAGTCTAAACCAAAAGCCTGGAAAAACTGGCGACAAGAAAGTGGGTCTCCAGTTGAGTTAGAGCAGTGGTATAGATCAATTCAAGAAGTTAAAAAAATTGTTGCATTGTTTAAATATCATAGAGCTCCATTATAAAATTCTTCATCAATGGCTTAGGGTACCAAAAATTCTAAATAGAATTAACCCTGATAATTCCAAACTTTGTTGGAGGTGTACTGGTGCTGAAGGTAGCTCTAAACATATCTGGTGGGGATGTAAGCTTTTAAGACCTATATGGAATAAAGCATTTAGCGTTATATCAGATTTAGTGGGAGAAGATTTGGAAGATAACTTAATGGTTGCTCTTTTTCATTTTAATTTAAGAAGATTCTCAACTCAAAATAGATATCTAATAATCCAATTTATGATGGCCATAAAAATAGAAATATCAAGATACTGGCTACAGAAAAAGACTCCATCTTGGAACCAAGTGCTAACTCAGCTTAATACCAACACGATATGAAAAGGGGAATCTCTTCTCAATATGATAGCCACTTAAAATTTGATGAGAAATGGTTACCTTGGCTATATAATCTGATATAACTACAGGGAGTGCAGAATTATTAGGCAAATGAGTATTTTGACCACATCATCCTCTTTATGCATGTTGTCTTACTCCAAGCTGTATAGGCTCGAAAGCCTACTACCAATTAAGCATATCAGGTGATGTGCATCTCTGTAATGAGAAGGGGTGTGGTCTAATGACATCAACACCCTATATCAGGTGTGCATAATTATTAGGCAACTTCCTTTCCTTTGGCAAAATGGGTCAAAAGAAGGACTTGACAGGCTCAGAAAAGTCAAAAATAGTGAGATATCTTGCAGAGGGATGCAGCACTCTTAAAATTGCAAAGCTTCTGAAGCGTGATCATCGAACAATCAATTTCATTCAAAATAGTCAACAGGGTCGCAAGAAGCGTGTGGAAAAACCAAGGCGCAAAATAACTGCCCATGAACTGAGAAAAGTCAAGCGTGCAGCTGCCACGATGCCACTTGCCACCAGTTTGGCCATATTTCAGAACTGCAACATCACTGGAGTGCTAAAAAAGCACAAGGTGTGCAATACTCAGAGACATGGCCAAGGTAAGAAAGGCTGAAAGACGACCACCACTGAACAAGACACACAAGCTGAAACGTCAAGACTGGGCCAGAAATATCTCAAGACTGATTTTTCTAAGGTTTTATGGACTGATGAAATGAGAGTGAGTCTTGATGGGCCAGATGGATGGGCCCGTGGCTGGATTGGTAAGGGCAGAGAGCTCCAGTCCGACTCAGACGCCAGCAAGGTGGAGGTGGAGTACTGGTTTGGGCTGGTATCATCAAAGATGAGCTTGTGGGGCCTTTTCGGGTTGAGGATGGAGTCAAGCTCAACTCCCAGTCCTA